CCGATGAGATGACTTTGTAACCAAAATTTGGTGGCCAAAACCCCTGAAAAAATGCAAACTTGAAGTGTTTGAAAATCAACACATTATTTACATTATCAGCAAATAAACCAAATACTGTAGCAAAGTGCTATTAAACAGAACAATCACACCAGAAATGGAGCGAATCAGTCGAAATGACATGAGGATAAAAAATAAATAAAATGCTTTGAAACGCCACAATTTGTCAAAAAGACACGGTGCTAAAGACCAAGCCTAATCATCATGCTTTAAAACTCTACCCGTAAAGCCAGTAAGTCAAAACTTGGTGTTCCCGTAAAAACGGACGGTTTCTTTTGATAGGCTATCAATTGCCCTTCACCAGGAATGCACATCTGTGCTATTTTTTTTTTTTAGTAAAACTAAACTGTCCTTAACAAATGGAGCAAACTTTCCAGGTTTGGTTTTAATGGCTGGCCAAAAAATAGCGGACGGCCAACGAGGAACTATAAAGGTACCTTTGGCCTTACACACGGACATGTGTCTAATGACGGGAATGATTAAAGCCACTGGCGAACAGACCCAGTTCGCTTCGTTTGACCAATTTTTAGTAAATGCGTCAACAGCCTCTGTTTCAGGACACCAAAATCGTGAATTGAATCTTTGTAATTGTGTATTGTAATTAGCGGCGAACCTATCAATAGTAAAAGGACCCCATGCTCTATGAAGCATAACAAATAATTCTGGGTGTAACTTCCAATCATCTAAATCAATGGTTTTGCTTAATACATCGGCAGTCCTGTTTTCTGCTCGAGGAATCCATTGTGTTTCAATCATAATGTCGTTAATGAAACAAATGTTGAAAATGTCTACTGCAATATTTTGGAGTTCGAAAATTCTACTCCCGACTTGAACGATGCGACAGGCGCTCTGGCTATCTGAAAATATTTTCACCTTTTTATGCTGTAAACGTTGCACAGAAGTTTTCAAAACTAGTAGGATAGCCGATAACTCCCGGAACGTGGAACTCTTACCACTTTGCTCAACGGACCAATGTCCGTGTATATTTACATCCCTCAACGAGGTAAAATAACCACCATAACCAACGCCACTAGCGTCAGTGTGGATTGTTAAAGGTTCTAAAGACACTTTTGGCCGAATGTTATACCCGTTTAGATAACGTAAATTGTCTAACCAAAATCTCAATTCCTCCATCAAAAAGATGTGGGACGCTATCCAAATGCCCTGCCCATGAATCTCTCTGAGAAATTATGAAAAAGAGTTGCCGCGAAAAAAGCCTCACAGGTGGACCGACAGCTAAATACAATGAATTGATGAAACCGGCGATTTTTGCCAGTTCTCGATATGAAACGTGATTGGAAGACAAAATGTACTGAATGTTTTTCTTAACTTTCTCGATTTTCCGAGGCGGAATTTCGAATTCAAAATTGATGGCGTTAATAATCATACCAAGCCATTCTCCGATTTATATGGGCTCCCAATGACATTTTTCCTCATTCGTTTTAAGACCGGAACACGATAAATCTTTCTTTTGAATAATACTGGCCGCAGAAGCATCAATACGACGTTTATGACCGGAAATACCGTCGTCTAAATAGAAAAAAGAGGCGTAGGACATCATACGCCCTCGTTTCACTAACGGCCTAAGTAATTTGGTAAAACAATAACAAGCTGAACTTAGGCCAAAAGGTAAAACACAGAAAATAAAATATCTCAACTTCCCGTTAAAATTCCACGAAAATCCTAGAAATTTTCTGGGTGCGACATAAATATCAACATGATGATAACCGGATTTAAGATCCCATGTGAAAAACCAAAAGTTCTGTTCAAATAATTGAGATAATGATCGAAGATCCTCATATCGAAATGATTGTTTGAGCAAATGCCCGTTAATGTTGCGGAGATCAAGAACTAAACGTAATTTCTTTCCTTTAGCAACAGATAAAGGATTAACGCAATAGGGTGGTTCGGATTGCTCCTCAATGTATTGACCTTTCAGTAATTTAACAATTGCTTCTGAGACAACGTCAGGATGATCCCTGGCAGATTTATTGTTAGCTAAAAAACAGGTCTCGGGAATGGACCGAAATGGAATCATATAACCGTCCTGCACTATACTTTGCACAAACTGGGAGGCGTTAAGTGTATCACGCCAGTAACTCGAACACCTGTAAAGCCCCCCCCACGCACACTATCACTACAAAAACTCGCATGCACATCGTCACTATTAGAACTAAAAAGGAATAATCCAACCTGGTCTTCCTCCTCACACTACAGATCAACTTCTAGTCAACTGCTCGATGCTGGTCTTGGGGGACACATATTGCAATTCCGCTGAAGGTGACCGGTACTGTAAACACTGTAAATAATAGAATAACATATATGACCATCAACATTAATATAATAAATAGAAAATAAGTTTGACTGAAGAACGTGTAAGCAGCGAGGAATAATCAAGGCGTGTATACGCCTTTTATACTATTGCATAACAATGTAACATAGTTATGTATTCATATCAGAACATTATTTTGCATATCAAACAATTAGATATAAATTATCTGCTAAACTGCGTAACGCAGATAATTAAAACATCTAATATAATTATATCGAATAAACACACACACATCAACATGTTGCTTGAAGCACTTTGTGTTTATTGCTGCTTAAACGCTCGAGGTAAGAACAAAGCAGTCGTATGACAGCTGTCGACCTATAGTGTTGTGACTCTAAAGCAAAACACAATGCTATATACATGGATGCAACACTTAACTTATAACAAGGCCCAATTGCATTCCCGCTTGGACCATTGTGGTCAGGGAACACTGGTCGACGTGAGGCCATAGAATTACGATATGGAATACGGTTTGGATAGCCCTGAAACGGCCGAGACTTTGATGTTTTGGATGCCTTGGCTTTCTTCGCCTTCTTTTCAGCAGTTTTCTCTGCGCGGTCGATCCGTTTCTCGTCATCGGAATTATCGGCTAGCTCGTTAGTCATATATTCAGCTACGGTTTGCCAACCATGGTCGCTCGTATCAGCTAATTTGATAAGCTTCATTCTTGCTTCTATGGCTACTTTACCTTCTTGTAGGAAGCTGATAGCTTTATCGATGTCTTGATGCTCGAGAGCTGTGGTAGCACTTTCCACTGTGTCCAGCACACCAAGCTGGTGATTATATTGCTGCTCATTGCCCTTTGACTTAAATTGAGGTTTCTCTAAGCGAGCCTTCTTGTTCGTGAAGGTTTCTAGCGTCGCTGAATTATCAGCAGACAATCCCCTCTTCAAGTGAGCAAACCGATCGTCGACAACATTGGTAAGCTGTTGGCACATTTGTGTTAACGACTTCTCCATGAATTCTTTCATATCTTTTCCCGAGAGCTCTGGATGAGACATGTTTGACTGAAGAACGTGTAAGCAGCGAGGAATAATCAAGGCGTGTATACGCCTTTTATACTATTGCATAACAATGTAACATAGTTATGTATTCATATCAGAACATTATTCTGCATATCAAACAATTAGATATAAATTATCTGCTAAACTGCGTAACGCAGATAATTAAAACATATACACTGCTAAGTACATTGACTTGCTCTCCGACGTATATTAAATGCGTGAAAGTCGTCGCATATGATTCTTAATTTGCATTCAATACAAGCTATTGAAACATAGCGTTGCATGAGGGTGTTATATTACCTTGTCGACCATGTAGTATTTGCTTCTTGAAGCCTAATACATTCTAGTGGGCCATATTTACTACGGAAAGAGAAAGTCCTGCATAAAACTCAATTTTTAATGCGCAATGCCTCGGTTATTAAATTTGAAAGATACAGACAATCCTGGACAAAACCATCTGCGACACTCTATTAAAACGTTCCTTTGTGGCTTTTTTACCTGTTAGACCGGAATAATTTACTCGTTTGCCCCCCTCGGCCCCCAAAACAATGTTGGACGTTTTATCCGTATTCTACGAATGCAATCAACATTGAATGGTGGGGGAAAGGGGGATGATTTGTAAATTTACGATAATATTACGACATTTTGTCAAGTAATTGGAAGTGTCGCAGATGTTTTGTCCAGGATTGTCTGAAATAAGTCGAAATTATATTCTTTTATATTTCGCTTTTTATACATGTCCTTGCCATCTACTTCGTTTATGCGCATTGCTTATAACCTACTTATATTGATAGGTTATACATTCAGGACAATGACAATAAATTCAATAGAATTACGTTTCTGGTATTTACTGCATATATTTAGAATATTAAGTGACAACTACATAAATGTGAATTATGCATTTTGACACAAGTTTCCGGGTGTGGTATATCCATGCCCAACTTTCAACAGTAACGGTGTACCACAACCAATGCACTAAGACTGTGATAATATCCCCAGTTACAAGGGTAATACAAACCAATGAAATGAACTTGAAAGAACGTGTGTTGCTTAGTATTGCAACCTACTTCAGACAATATTTAGCGCGATAATTTTAAAATATTCCACGGTGTACCATTTTAACCTTACAAAAGGTTATATATATATATTCTTATATGTTCACGCTGTACCGTGGTACACCGTCAATGCGCATGCGCTATTATACGACAATAACAAAATCGGATTAGTCATTTAACACGGCGGTCACGCAATATATTTCCAGTCAACAGCTAAGCGTTTGTCTGTCTAACAACACAAATATATACGGATTAAAGTATTTTAGAATATTCTTAGTGCAAAATAATTGGTATATACACTGCTAAGTACATTGACTTGCTCTCCGACGTATATTAAATGCGTGAAAGTCGTCGCATATGATTCTTAATTTGCATTCAATACAAGCTATTGAAACATAGCGTTGCATGAGGGTGTTATATTACCTTGTCGACCATGTAGTATTTGCTTCTTGAAGCCTAATACATTCTAGTGGGCCATATTTACTACGGAAAGAGAAAGTCCTGCATAAAACTCAATTTTTAATGCGCAATGCCTCGGTTATTAAATTTGAAAGATACAGACAATCCTGCACAAAACCATCTGCGACACTCTATTAAAACGTTCCTTTGTGGCTTTTTTACCTGTTAGACCGGAATAATTTACTCGTTTGCCCCCCTCGGCCCCCAAAACAATGTTGGACGTTTTATCCGTATTCTACGAATGCAATCAACATTGAATGGTGGGCGAAAGGGGGATGATTTGTAAATTTATATAATATTACGACATTTTGTCAAGTAATTGGAAGTGTCGCAGATGTTTTGTCCAGGATTGTCTGAAATAAGTCGAAATTATATTCTTTTATATTTCGCTTTTTATACATGTCCTTGCCATCTACTTCGTTTATGCGCATTGCTTATGACCTACTTATATTGATAGGTTATACATTCAGGGACAATAAATTCAATAGAATTACGTTTCTGGTATTTACTGCATATATTTAGAATATTAAGTGACAACTATATAAATGTGAATTATGCATTTTGACACAAGTTTCCGGGTGTGGTATATGTATGCCCAACTTTCAACAGTAACGATGTACCACAACCAATGCACTAAGATTGTGATAATATCCCCAGTTACAAGGGTAATACAAACCAATGAAATGAACTTGAAAGAACGTGTGTTGCTTAGTATTGCAACCTACTTCAGACAATATTTAGCGCGATAATTTTAAAATATTCCACGGTGTACCATTTTAACCTTACAAAAGGTTATATATATATATTCTTATATGTTCACGCTGTACCGTGGTACACCGTCAATGCGCATGCGCTATTATACGACAATAACAAAATCGGATTAGTCATTTAACACGGCGGTCACGCAATATATTTCCAGTCAACAGCTAAGCGTTTGTCTGTCTAACAACACAAATATATATGGATTAAAGTATTTTAGAATATTCTTAGTGCAAAAAATTGGTATATACACTGCTAAGTACATTGACTTGCTCTCCGACGTATATTAAATGCGTGAAAGTCGTCGCATATGATTCTTAATTTGCATTCAATACAAGCTATTGAAACATAGCGTTGCATGAGGGTGTTATATTACCTTGTCGACCATGTAGTATTTGCTTCTTGAAGCCTAATACATTCTAGTGGGCCATATTTACTACGGAAAGAGAAAGTCCTGCATAAAACTCAATTTTTAATGCGCAATGCCTCGGTTATTAAATTTGAAAGATACAGACAATCCTGGACAAAACCATCTGCGACACTCTATTAAAACGTTCCTTTGTGGCTTTTTTACCTGTTAGACCGGAATAATTTACTCGTTTGCCCCCCTCGGCCCCCAAAACAATGTTGGACGTTTTATCCGTATTCTACGAATGCAATCAACATTGAATGGTGGGGGAAAGGGGGATGATTTGTAAATTTACGATAATATTACGACATTTTGTCAAGTAATTGGAAGTGTCGCAGATGTTTTGTCCAGGATTGTCTGAAATAAGTCGAAATTATATTCTTTTATATTTCGCTTTTTATACATGTCCTTGCCATCTACTTCGTTTATGCGCATTGCTTATGACCTACTTATATTGATAGGTTATACATTCAGGGACAATAAATTCAATAGAATTACGTTTCTGGTATTTACTGCATATATTTAGAATATTAAGTGACAACTATATAAATGTGAATTATGCATTTTGACACAAGTTTCCGGGTGTGGTATATCCATGCCCAACTTTCAACAGTAACGGTGTACCACAACCAATGCACTAAGACTGTGATAATATCCCCAGTTACAAGGGTAATACAAACCAATGAAATGAACTTGAAAGAACGTGTGTTGCTTAGTATTGCAACCTACTTCAGACAATATTTAGCGCGATAATTTTAAAATATTCCACGGTGTACCATTTTAACCTTACAAAAGGTTATATATATATATTCTTATATGTTCACGCTGTACCGTGGTACACCGTCAATGCGCATGCGCTATTATACGACAATAACAAAATCGGATTAGTCATTTAAAACGGCGGTCACGCAATATATTTCCAGTCAACAGCTAAGCGTTTGTCTGTCTAACAACACAAATATATATGGATTAAAGTATTTTAGAATATTCTTAGTGCAAAAAAATTGGTATATACACTGCTAAGTACATTGACTTGCTCTCCGACGTATATTAAATGCGTGAAAGTCGTCGCATATGATTCTTAATTTGCATTCAATACAAGCTATTGAAACATAGCGTTGCATGAGGGTGTTATATTACCTTGTCGACCATGTAGTATTTGCTTCTTGAAGCCTAATACATTCTAGTGGGCCATATTTACTACGGAAAGAGAAAGTCCTGCATAAAACTCAATTTTTAATGCGCAATGCCTCGGTTATTAAATTTGAAAGATACAGACAATCCTGCACAAAACCATCTGCGACACTCTATTAAAACGTTCCTTTGTGGCTTTTTTACCTGTTAGACCGGAATAATTTACTCGTTTGCCCCCCTCGGCCCCCAAAACAATGTTGGACGTTTTATCCGTATTCTACGAATGCAATCAACATTGAATGGTGGGGGAAAGGGGGATGATTTGTAAATTTACGATAATATTACGACATTTTGTCAAGTAATTGGAAGTGTCACAGATGTTTTGTCCAGGATTGTCTGAAATAAGTCGAAATTATATTCTTTTATATTTCGATTTTTATACATGTCCTTGCCATCTACTTCGTTTATCCGCATTGCTTATGACCTACTTATATTGATAGGTTATACATTCAGGGACAATAAATTCAATAGAATTACGTTTCTGGTATTTACTGCATATATTTAGAATATTAAGTGACAACTATATAAATGTGAATTATGCATTTTGACACAAGTTTCCAGGTGTGGTATATCCATGCCCAACTTTCAACAGTAACGGTGTACCACAACCAATGCACTAAGACTGTGATAATATCCCCAGTTACAAGGGTAATACAAACCAATGAAATGAACTTGAAAGAACGTGTGTTGCTTAGTATTGCAACCTACTTCAGACAATATTTAGCGCGATAATTTTAAAATATTCCACGGTGTACCATTTTAACCTTACAAAAGGTTATATATATATTCTTATATGTTCACGCTGTACCGTGGTACACCGTCAATGCGCATGCGCTATTATACGACAATAACAAAATCGGATTAGTCATTTAACACGGCGGTCACGCAATATATTTCCAGTCAACAGCTAAGCGTTTGTCTGTCTAACAACACAAATATATACGGATTAAAGTATTTTAGAATATTCTTAGTGCAAAATAATTGGTATCTAATATAATTATATCGAATAAACACACACACATCAACATGTTGCTTGAAGCACTTTGTGTTTATTGCTGCTTAAACGCTCGAGCTAAATGCTCTTACATAGTAAAGAATAAATATACTCTACTTATTCCAAGATCTGAACCTTTAAGATCTTGGTGTGAAGATGAAAAACCCAACCTGCATAAAACAGGGCGGAGTATTTAAAAGTTCTCTTGAATATTGTCACTCAATAACATTCGTGTTATCAATTCCTTTACAGATTATTAATACGATAATCTAAAACACACTCCTGGGAAAACCGTTCTTCACTACAATGTATAAATGTTCACGTTCGTATTTTACGCATTCGCCTAAATAGACAAGTTTTTAGACACCTCGAATTGCATGCTTGCCGATGGTTTAATGTACTTATTCTTCGACTGTACCGACTTCCATCCTCCATGACTCTGCATTGACAGGTCGGACAAATCGTGGCAACCTGGATCGGATACACCACCACTCTTTAAGCTGTGAGTTCCCAACTTTCTCAAATCCTCGTAAAATACGCCCAAATTCTCTTTGATGATATCTCAAATAGGAGACGTAGATCGGCCGGAGATGCGCGATTACGCCCGTGTTTCTGAATTAACGTTTCTAACATGTAAGGTGGGACAGGATCGTTAGGTTCTCTTGGTCGAGAGAGAATTCGTCGGCAGCCTTCGTAGGTAGATTGAACCAACGGTTGCTCTGTCGGGTAGGGTAAGCGGCCAAAATATGCCCCCAACGAATGCTATACACAGCAGTATCCACAGGTGAAGTTGTCTTGGCGGAATCTAGGAATTGACGCAGATATAACGCCACGAACATAGGCTGAGCAGGAAGGTACCAAACACCAATCTTAGACATGGACCAGATCTTCCATCTGTTCCATCCGTAAGCATAGCGGACTGTCGTATTTCGATCCTTTGCATTTAACACAACCCGAGAAAGCGAGGAAGCCAACGATACAAGCGAAGGATCCTGTATTTTGGAGAAATCCTCCCACACTCCAATTTTAAACTCATCTAAATAGAAATAAGTAAATCATAATAGAATATAAACTTCGAAGACTACATTCGTCACACGACGATATGACAGCACTAAAAGACTGCATTAATTAAATAAAAATTATTTTTTTTTTACGAAAATGTATCTAGCCGTTAAAAGGCAAATGTAAAATTTAATTTTTACATGAACAGGTCGAATGACCGATGAGATGACTTTGTAACCAAAATTTGGTGGCCAAAACCCCTGAAAAAATGCAAACTTGAAGTGTTTGAAAATCAACACATTAGTTGCGTTATCAGCAAATAAACCAAATACTGTAGCAAAGTGCTATTAAACAGAACAATCACACCAGAAATGGAGCGAATCAGTCGAAAAGACATGAGGATAAAAAATAAATAAAATGCTTTGAAACGCCACAATTTGTCAAAAAGACACGGTGCTAAAGACCAAGCCTAATCATCATGCTTTAAAACTCTACCCGTAAAGCCAGTAAGTCAAAACTTGGTGTTCCCGTAAAAACGGACGGTTTCTTTTGATAGGCTATCAATTGCCCTTCACCAGGAATGCACATCTGTGCTATTTTTTTTTTTTAGTAAAACTAAACTGTCCTTAACAAATGGAGCAAACTTTCCAGGTTTGGTTTTAATGGCTGGCCAAAAAATAGCGGACGGCCAACGAGGAACTATAAAGGTACCTTTGGCCTTACACACGGACATGTGTCTAATGACGGGAATGATTAAAGCCACTGGCGAACAGACCCAGTTCGCTTCGTTTGACCAATTTTTAGTAAATGCGTCAACAGCCTCTGTTTCAGGACACCAAAATCGTGAATTGAATCTTTGTAATTGTGTATTGTAATTAGCGGCGAACCTATCAATAGTAAAAGGACCCCATGCTCTATGAAGCATAACAAATAATTCTGGGTGTAACTTCCAATCATCTAAATCAATGGTTTTGCTTAATACATCGGCAGTCCTGTTTTCTGCTCGAGGAATCCATTGTGTTTCAATCATAATGTCGTTAATGAAACAAATGTTGAAAATGTCTACTGCAATATTTTGGAGTTCGAAAATTCTACTCCCGACTTGAACGATGCGACAGGCGCTCTGGCTATCTGAAAATATTTTCACCTTTTTATGCTGTAAACGTTGCACAGAAGTTTTCAAAACTAGTAGGATAGCCGATAACTCCCGGAACGTGGAACTCTTACCACTTTGCTCAACGGACCAATGTCCGTGTATATTTACATCCCTCAACGAGGTAAAATAACCACCATAACCAACGCCACTACTCACTAGCGTCAGTGTGGATTGTTAAAGGTTCTAAAGACACTTTTGGCCGAATGTTATACCCGTTTAGATAACGTAAATTGTCTAACCAAAATCTCAATTCCTCCATCAAAAAGATGTGGGACGCTATCCAAATGCCCTGCCCATGAATCTCTCTGAGAAATTATGAAAAAGAGTTGCCGCGAAAAAAGCCTCACAGGTGGACCGACAGCTAAATACAATGAATTGATGAAACCGGCGATTTTTGCCAGTTCTCGATATGAAACGTGATTGGAAGACAAAATGTACTGAATGTTTTTCTTAACTTTCTCGATTTTCCGAGGCGGAATTTCGAATTCAAAATTGATGGCGTTAATAATCATACCAAGCCATTCTCCGATTTGCATGGGCTCCCAATGACATTTTTCCTCATTCGTTTTAAGACCGGAACACGATAAATCTTTCTTTTGAATAATACTGGCCGCAGAAGCATCAATACGACGTTTATGACCGGAAATACCGTCGTCTAAATAGACAAAAGAGGCGTAGGACATCATACGCCATCGTTTCACTAACGGCCTAAGTAATTTGGTAAAACAATAACAAGCTGAACTTAGGCCAAAAGGTAAAACACAGAAAATAAAATATCTCAACTTCCCGTTAAAATTCCACGAAAATCCTAGAAATTTTCTGGGTGCGACATAAATATCAACATGATGATAACCGGATTTAAGATCCCATGTGAAAAACCAAAAGTTCTGTTCAAATAATTGAGATAATGATCGAAGATCCTCATATGGAAATGATTGCTTGAGCAAATGCCCGTTAATGTTGCGGAGATCAAGAACTAAACGTAATTTCTTTCCTTTAGCAACAGACAAAGGATTAACGCAATAGGGTGGTTCTGATTGCTCCTCAATGTATCGACCTTTCAGTAATTTAACAATTGCTTCTGAGACAAAGTCAGGATGATCCCTGGCAGATTTATTGTTAGCTAAAAAACTGGTCTCTGTAATGGACCGAAATGGAATCTTATAACCGTCCTGCACTATACTTTGCACAAACTGGGAGGCGTTAAGTGTATCACGCCAGTAATTTGAACACCTGTAAAGCCCCCCACGCACACTATCACTACAAAAACTCCATGCACATCGTCACTATTAGAACTAAAAAGGAATAATCCAACCTGATCTTCCTCCTCACACTGCAGATCATGCAACTTCTACTGTAAACACTGTAAATAATAGAATAACATATATGACCATCAACATTAATATAATAAATAGAAATTCAGTTTGACTGAAGAACGTGTAAGCAGTGAGGAATAATCAAGTCTTGTATACGCCTTTTATACTATTGCATAACAATGTAACATAGTTATGTATTCATAGCAGAACATTATTCTGAATATCAAACCATTAGATATATATAAATTATCTGCTTAATTGCGTAACGCAGATAGTTAAAACATCTAATATAATTATATCGAATAAACACACACACGTACAGCAACATGTTGCTTGAAGCACTTTGTGTTTATTGCTGCTTAAACGCTCGAGGTAAGAACAAAGCAGTCGTATGACGGCTGTCGACCTATAGTGTTGTGACTCTAAAGCAAAACACAATGCTATATACATGGATGTACCACTTAACTTATAACAAGGCCCAATTGCATTCCCGCGTGGACCATTGTGGTCAGGGAACACTGGTCGACGTGAGGGCATAGAATTACGATATGGGATGCGGTTTGGATAGCCAGGAAACGGCCGAGACTTTGATGTTTTGGATGCCTTGGCCTTCTTCGGCTTCTTTTCAGCAGTTTTCTCTGCGCGGTCGATCCGTTTCTCGTCATCTGAGTTATCGGCTAGCTCGTTAGTCATATATTCAGCTACGGTTTGCCAACCATGGTCGCTCGTATCAGCTAATTTGATAAGCTTCATTCTTGCTACTACAGTATGGCTACTTTACCTTCTTGTAGGAAACTGATAGCTTTATGGATGTCTTGATGCTCGAGAGCTGTGGTAGCACTTTCCACTGTGTCCAGCACACCAAGCTGGTGATTATATTGCTGCTCATTGCCCTTTAACTTAAATCGAGGTTTCTCTAAGCGAGCCTTCTTGTTCGCAAAGGCGTCTAGCGTCGCTGAATTATCAGCAGACAATTCTCTCTTCAAGTGAGCAAACCGATCGTCGACAACATTGGTAAGCTGTTGGCACATTTGTGTTAACGACTTCTCCATGAATTCTTTCATATCTTTGCCCGAGAGCTCGGGATGAGACATGTTTGACTGAAGAACGTGTAAGCAGCGAGGAATAATCAAGGCGTGTATACGCCTTTTATACTATTGCATAACAATGTAACATAGTTATGTATTCATATCAGAACATTATTCTGCATATCAAACAATTAGATATAAATTATCTGCTAAACTGCGTAACGCAGATAATTAAAACATTTGTGATGTATACATAATTTCTTGTAAATGATTTTCATTATAGAAAATAATAATATGTAATCTTTAGAACAAGGCGTGTTTTATGTATCCAAATCACAGCTTCCTATCCAGAATAAATGTTTCAACGATTCACTCCTCTGCTCAGGTTTAGTCTAGAGAAATAAGCAGTAAAAATTCAAATAGAAATGAATCATGAGATCACCTTTATTGGACTTAAATTGGGACAGTTGTGGAATTTAGGTTGCCACCTTTTATTCTGGTCTCGGAGAAGGTCATGCTGGAAACGATTCGATCTCTCATATTGTGATTGAAGAAGTGCAACTCCTCAAGCTTAGTCACTTTAAAACTTTTAAGAAACATTTGAAACAAAATATGCTTGCAGACATTTTATCCTATAGTCATTTTAATTAGCATATACTTATTCATGTAATTAGGGTATAAAGTTATACCACTTTTACTGAAAAGCTCGGTAATTAATTAAGGGAGAATTTAATAGACCTCTTATAATGACGTCAAACGTGGAAAACACTTAATGCGATGTCGTAATATGATGCAATACAGAAATCTTTCACATTCATTGCTGTTCATTTTGATAAACAAGATGACTCTTGAATATATTTAGACATCTCAAGAATGAAACGAAATCCAGTATTCCGCATAAGGTCGTTGATATTTTGAGCGCTATTTTGTGATTTGGAGTTTTTGACAGGTGAGCATGACTCAAAGGGGCGTTTTTCAAAGTATAAGGTGAGGAAACGTCGGAACACGATCGACGCCATGGTTTTCTGTGGTCGGTGAAAAAACCGTACGAACCTCAACCGCAAATTGCACGACCGCGACTGCGAACCGCACGAACCGCAAACAGCACGAACCGCGACCGCAAACCGCACGAACCGTGCCACAAACTGCACGAACCGCGACCGAACCGCACTGTTAACTTATTTCTAGGCAGTACTGTATATTGTTATTGTAATGAGTTTCACAGCCATCTTCCCTTTAGCCTGCGAACAGGCGTTTATAGGTCACCCCCGAGGAAAATAAACACCTTCAGGCTGACTACAACGGTTATCATACGCCTTCTAATTACAAGATTTATATTTCAATATTGCGATTATATTTGTAGGTCTTTATTATATACTGTGTAAAACATGCCGTATAGTGTACCGGCACCCGTGCTATGAATTTCGCTGTAGGTTATAAGTAACTGTATAAAGTTATTTATCATCATTATCATATAAACAGAATTACTGTAATGTTATACTCAATTCAACCGGCAAATATATGATAGCAAATGTTTTACTATCAAATAATTATAATGTTTTACTGTCAAATAATGTTTTACTGTAATCCAGCATGCACTGCTCACTGTCCCAGTGAATTTATTAAGCTACCAAACTATCAGCACTATCATGCACTGATAAACGGGTTTAGCGGATTGATATGAATTTTGTCCACTTGTATGTTTAATTTAATATTGAGTGATAAATATTCTGTGATCTTTGTGTGATAATTGACATTGAATGATAATTTCCCTCGCGCAAGCTTTAATGTTACGTTTATGGCACAGATCATGCACGGTAATTTGAATCTGGATAAAGTTGCTATATGAGTTAGATATCCGTAGAATATAAAGTTCATCCGGGAAATCACACCAAGAAATTGAAACAAAGCTCGATCGAGTACTGAAAAATTAGGCATGCATTTTATCAATAAGTTACGAAGGCTCGAACAGATATATTAAACTCGAACAGATATACATCTGATCAGATTAGTAATTTGATTCCCTCACATAAGGCTTTCGTGGTTCCTCAATATCGATCAGATATGTTGTACCGTTCCATATAATCTACAACTACAAGCAGTGTATATACCAGCGGCTATATTGCCTATATACTGTAGGTAATTCATGCGTCATTTAGCTGGATTAAAGGCTGTAGGGCTGCAAATACTGCCATGCTGGTAAAAGTCAAACATATACCGGGTGTCCCCCAAAAAACTTGCGCTGTTTGATTTCATGTAACGTAAAAACTATAAAAGCTACTACACTCAAATAAATTTTATTGTATTCAGGAAAGGCTAACTTAGATCTTGATATACAGCCCTAAAAATTCCATGTAATATTACGTGAGATACAAATGTTTGAATTTGGTGCACGCTTTAAAAATGAGTAAAAAAAATCGAGAAACATGGCTGATCAAATTTATATGAAAACAATTGCCATTTCCCACAAAAATTAACAATTTCAATTTTAGTATTTCAAATCAACTTTAATTTCGGGTAATGTCCTAGTATAAGTTAGTCTTTCGTGTTTCTTGGGAAGCGAAATAAGCATGAAACATGTAATAACGTTCGAAATCATATTTGACGTCCTTTGGGAGTTCGTATTATAAAGTTGGTCTTCGTTCGCCTTTCGAATATGCCTCGATTAACAAAGATCAAACAGTTTGGGTTTTATGGTTTCCCGTAGCCTGCGAACAGGCTTCCAAGGTGAATTGAGAGCCTGCACTGATGATATACAATTTTGAATATCTGCCCCGTAACGTCCGTTTTTCCAAATATGGAATGTCTATCCTTATATGGTGTTGTTTACAACTTTCGTGCAAACTAAATTTAGACCGTGCAAACTAAATTTAGACCGTACAGTTGTCAGTTTATACTGTTTTTCGAAATATAAGATATTCAAGCAAAAGTTTAAGATCGTGACTAAAACACCACACGAGTACATACGAGTAACATACGAGTAACACACAAGTACATACGAGTAACATGCGAGTAACATACGAATACATACGAGTAACACACGAGTAACATACAAGTACACACGAGTAACATACGAGTACACACGAGTAACATACGAGTAAATACGAGTACATACGAGTACATACGAGTAAAATACGAGTACATACGAGTAAAATACGAGAATTAGCACGCTTTCTTTAAAGTTTCTTTCACTTTCACACTTTCACTTTGGCTTCGTATTATGTTCATGTTGTAAATGCCTTATTGACATAGGCGTACGAGACAGGGGGCGGGGGGGGGGGCAACTGCCCCCCAAAATTTTGGAAAACCATGGAAATTCGAGCAAACGCTAGGAAAAATCAAGAAAATTCGGGCAGATTTATGAGAAAATATGTTAAAATCAGGTTATTTCTTTACAATTCTCCATAAAAATTCAGGCAAACTTTCAACTGCCCCCCCCCCCCCAGAAAACATCAGCCCCGTTCTCCTATGCGTATTGATGGATTTCGAAGCCTCGCACGACGTAGAAAAAGTAATTCATTAATATAGAATAAAGATTTGTATGTTCTAAGACTCTAAAAAGGTTTAAATGTAGTATATTGCTCACAGGCTGTCAGAGAGTTTTTGTAGTACATGAAAGTGCATGTTTGCCATGTTGTTTATACGTCTGTAGTCTATGTGTTTTGCAAATTTAATACGTGAATTGTACACCGGGAAATATAAAATACTTAGGGTTCATTATTTATCGGTTGGGGAGGGGGGAAGGAGCTGTTGGATTCTAAAATTCAAACAACATAATAAAAATGACCCTCCCTTTTAATGTGTTTAAAAATGTAGTCCACCCCTTTAGAACAGTCTGAAAATTTTTCACCCCCCTCCAACAATAAAGTTAAGAAGAACATAGTATGGCCGTATGGTAGTTCTTCCCATCCTATTCTTTTGTGTGCTCTTTACAACCAGGGGGTAGAGAGGACCTTCAACTTGGGGATGCTGGACAGGATTTAGCCAACAGGGGGGGGGGGGGCGAAATAAAATCTAAATCCACAATATAATTGTGTATAATCTTGTCTAAGTAAGTAGATATGGCCCCAAGAAGAAAGGGTTTACTTTGGGTTTTTAAATGTAAAATATATTTACTTTCAATCATCATTCGGTTTTAAAAGTAATTCGCATTATTTTAACCCATCATTTTCCATCACGAAAAATCATGTCTTTTATGCATTATACAGTCTTCGGACTTATGCAAACTCACGCCCCGAAAATGCAGGAAATCGTATTTCAGGGACCCTAGATTTCAAAATATTCTGGGGAGCATGCCCCCAGACCTCCCCTAAAATGGCTCACGCCTTTTACGCTGGCTACGCCACTATCTCTATACTATCTTCTTTATATCAATGCTATAAAATTTTATTGTCTCCCCAAAACACTTCTTCAAAAGATTTAAACCACTCTTTTTATTTTACACCCATAAAATATATCCCCCCATTATTTTACCAGCCCCCGCCCCCCAACCGATAAATAATGAACCCTAAGTATTTTATATTTTCCTGTTGAAAACGTATTAACAGGTGTACAATTGACGTATTAAATTTGCAAAACACATAGGAGAACGGGGCTGATGTTTTCTGGGGGGGGGGGGTAGTTGAAAGTTCGCCCGAATTTTTATGGAGAATTTTAAAGAAATAACCTGATTTTAACATATTTTCTCATAAATCTGCCCGAATTTTCTTGATTTTTCCTAGCGTTTGCCCGAATTTCCATGGTTTTCCAAAATTTTGGGGGGCAGTTGCCCCCCCCCCCTGTCTCGTACGCCTATGTCAATAAGGCATTTACAACATGAACATAATACGAAGCCAAAGTGAAAGTGTGAAAGTGAAAGAAACTTTAAAGAAAGCGTGCTAATTCTCGTATTTTACTCGTATTTTACTCGTATGTACTCGTATTTACTCGTATGTTACTCATATGTACTCGTATGTTACTCGTATGTACTCGTATGTTACTCGTATGTACTCGTATGTTACTCGTATGTACTCGTATGTACTCGTATGTACTTGTGTGTTACTCGTATGTTA